GTATCTTCTGTGAGCCGGTCGTTCGAACCTATGAGTAGCTAACAGGCAATATTCAAGGCTAAACCGCGCTTTTTATTACTATTATTATTGTTATTTGAGAAGAAGAATCATAAGATAAATTTTTTTAATTTGTATTTTGTGATATCAAAAAATCGTATTCCTCCCCTCCCAAGAACTTACCCTGTTCTCCTCCCTCGGAGGAGATCGTTGTTGGGACCAAAGCCGTTAGCTGTATCTGCATGTGGAAGCAGGCAACATGACATCGTATCACCCAAGTCAAGTAGTAACTTAGCCCCATTTCCGACGGCAAATTAAGCGTTGCGCTAAGCAAGCTACTCGTTCATATGATACCGTACTTCTCAGTATGCTACTCTATTCTCCTCTGGGGAGGTCGCAGTTTTATGTACATACATAACTGTACCTGTACAACCCTAGGGCTGAATCCGGGGTATCCGTGCTGTTGCGAACGGTTTTTTTTCTTCTTCTTCTTCCCCTCTCCCAAAAAGTCGATGAGCGGGAAAAAAAGAAAAGAAAGAAGAAAAAAAGGTATGCGGTGTATGCATGCATGCAGAGATCCTCACAATCTTTCTTCAACTCTCCTCCCACTCGATGATGTTTACCCACCTCCAACCGCCAAAAATGGATGGTTCCCCCCCTCAGGCCATACTGTGAACAAAGTCCCGTAATAATAATAATAATAATAATAATAATAATAATAATAATAATAATAATAATAATAATAATAATACATGTAATAATAATGAATATATATAAAAAAAACCCGTATCACCGATTTGTGTGCGTTTTTCCGGGTGAGCCGAGCGAGCGAAGCGAGCGAGGCGATTCTCTTGCCGGGCGGACAGCTGTGCTGATGGGAAGAGGACGTGAGAGTTGTTGTAATCGTGAAACAAAGTGTCGACAATAATCAAAAGAGATTGATCGTTTGTTTCGTTGACCTATGATCAACTCGTCAGGACGGGGGGAGAAGGGTGATACTTATACCTTTCCCCGTAGATGAT